TTGAGAATTTTCCTGCAGAACGTACCTCATAGTAGAGGACAAATCACTTTAGGTTCGCACAATGCGGCAATGACCACAGTTATGGCTGTCCGTCTCAAACCAAGTCTTGTGATACTTCATCTTAGATTTTCTCCCAGATGGAGTAGGTCGATCCAACTGCAATTCTATTTTTATTTTAATTTTTATTTTCAGCTATTCACTAAAAGTTCACTTTAAAGTTATTTTCTTTACCTTCCTAACTTAAGCTTCACCGCAGCCAAATGAATGATCAGTTTTCCGTCTTAATTAGCGAAACTATTAAGTGGAAACATAGGAGCAGAGATCTTTTATTTTCTCAAAACTGAATTTTTCTTCTCCGATCGAAATGTCACAAAGTGGCAATGCCATGGTGGAGATTTTAGTGAAGTTTGCAAACGTTAAATAGATTGACAAAACAATGCAAAGAGAAATGACAACCGAACACTTTTTAAGTACCCGCTTTCTTAGCTTAACTTGTTTACAACTGAATTTATGATTCGTCAAATGCATTAGTTGATTCACTAACGTCTTTTGCTTAAGGAGAATTTGTCGGGGTCTTTCGTTTAGGACTTCTCAAACTAGAATCGAAAACCTGTATCCAACGTTCAATGGACCGACAATAGACCCTAGATGAATTCCTTTTATTTTCCAGAATTCCTTTTCACTAGTAGTAATCTTATTTTAACTGGATATTGAACTGAAATCGTTGTACGCGCTGCTTACCTCAAAGGAAGTGTTTTTTTTTTCATTAGGTTACCCAGGTGAGATTCGCATTTCGACTCGGAAACTGTACTTTTCAAACCTAAACTGGCTTTTGTTTATTCTTTGACTCGATTCAAAAAGTGATCCATAGCCCTGAAATGGCCCTCTAAATTCAGGTAATACTCATGAACCAAACAGTCTCCAGTTGGAGGGAATGAATTTACCATTGCTTAGACTAAATAGGTCCCTATTGTATACGATAAGTAATAAAATATTTCTTGATTGTTTTAGATTGACCCTAATCGTACACTGCTTGAACAATGTAATGATCTGCCTTATGACCCTGATTTCGAGTTTCCTGAGGACAAGCTCATTCTTGGCGAGTTGCTAGGATCAGGGGCCTTCGGACAAGTCATTAAAGCAGAGGCTATAGGAATAAACAACTTTAGTCCCAGAGAAAAAAGTCAAAAGAAAAGTCAGCGGCGACCTAAAATGTTTCGTCAACACAGGGCCGGCCATGCGTACCACGATCCCAGAGGCAGAGCGTACACGAAAACCACCGTAGCTGTAAAGACTGTTAAAGGTAATGTTTCAAGTCAAGAGATCTGTATTTCAACTTGTGTAACATTTACCATGGTGGAGGGGGACAAAAAAGGAATTTTGTTTATAGTTACTGTAGGAGCTGATAATATGCAGGGGAGGGTACGAGTTACCAGGTTACCTGCGCGGTAATTATTTGGGAGACGGGGTAGGGTTGATTTGGGAATCTGTGCCTACCAGTGGAAAAAACTCCAGCCATGCCCCTGGATTCAGCATGGGTGAGGTGGACAATTCACATAGGGCCTCTCTCTTACATGAGTACCGTTCGTGCTCATTCCTATCGCTGAGGTTTGTGCCCAGTTAAACTGAACGTTGCTTGTGACATGGTCACATGGACTCCACTAGAACCTGTGGAAACTGCACTTTTTTTAACTGACCGAGTACGATGTTTTGGCACTTCAGGGGGAGCTACTGAAGAGGAAGTTAGAGACCTGGTATCAGAGCTGAAAATTCTAATTTACGTTGGAGAACACAAAAACATTGTAAACCTCCTTGGTGCTTGTATCAAGCGAGATCGTATCCTTGTCATTCTGGAATATGCACCACATGGGAGTTTACAAAAGTTCTTACGAGGCAAGCGAGATGTTTATGAAGCAACCTGGACTGCGACTGCCAGTGACCCAGAGATAGGATTGAATATATCAAGTCTTGTAAACTACTGTTACCAAATATCCTGTGGAATGGAATACCTGGCATCTAAAAAGGTTATGTAGTAATGTTGTCCCGTTCAAGGATTCCCACATTTCTGAAGAAAATTCAGTTCTAACAAGAGCTGTTGACCTTTTTGGCTTATGTTTTATTTTCCCATTTCACACCAAGTGATGTTCTCAAGGCAATTTGCATTTGGTCTTTTCATAAAATATGCATACATATATGCTCGTGGATGCACGAGCAAAGCACAACTTTGGAAAGGAACGGTTCTCTGGGGTACCATCACGTGGTCTGAAAAAGGGAAGACAAAACATACAGGCTAAAAAGATCTATTCTCCAGCACTTGCTTATTTTCTCCGTTTGGCTTCAAGGAGTTTTGTCATGATTTAAATCGTTCATTCGACCGGCTAAATCTGCGCCTATTTGTTTGTTTTTCGCGTTTAACAGAGTATGACTACTTGAACCGGGGCGCTTGAAAGATTATTATCCAATCAAATCGTTTGAACTTACCGTTTTTTTTAAAAAAAACAAGAGATTCTCTGTTAATGTAAACGGACCAAAACAATTCAATGTGCAACTATGAAACTGTTGATAACTTAAAAACCGTTTGAGCTTACCTGACCTCTCAGGAATTAGCCCTCCAATTTAATGAGAATATCTTTTGTTTTCAAAAACCGCCATGATTATTATGATTTGTGTTTGGATAATCTATTTCCAAACGCCCAGCTTCGAGTATTCGCACTGTAAGAGTTTATTATGAGTAATAAGTGGTAAAAAGTAAAGTAACTCAGAGAGAGGAGACCTCAGTAGCCAAAAGCTCGCGCAAAGGATTAGAAAAAGCAACATGTAGGCGAAAAGGTTACGGGAACTCAGAAGCGTGCGCAACAGCTGTGACATTAAATCAGCCATGAACCGGGAGCGAAAGAAGCGAAGACGTAAGTGTCCGTAGCGTTGGTTCCTCACTGACAATTCAGCGTTCGAGAGTAAGTGAAGAGCATTGTTTAACAATGTTTAGTCTTTATTTACTTTTACTTTCTGTAGCGTGTGCACTTCTCTGTTGGTATAAAAAATTTTTTTCCTGTTTTTACCGTGGTTATTATTATTATTATTATTATTATTATTATTATTATTATTATTATTATTATTACGAAAATAGCAAAAATCTTTATTAACATATGACCAATTTACATTCCACTATCATAGACTAAAATTTTGTTGAAATAAAAATATTAAAACTAAGATCATAAAACAATAATTTACAAGCTCACCCCATTATCGACTTTCTAAAATTAGCGGACTTATTATTATTATTATTATTATTATCTCCTTCTTGTTTCTGATGTCTTGATTTTGCATTTCTTTTTTTAAACATATCTGTTTTATCTAGTGTGTTCACCGAGACTTGGCGGCCAGAAACGTTCTTGTTGGAAAAGACTACGTCATGAAGATCGCTGACTTTGGTTGCCCTCGAAATATTTACAAGAGTGACTTATATGAGAAGACAAACAGTGGTGTTTTGCCAATGAAGTGGATGGCGATAGAATCATTGTTTTTGAGGGAGTACTCAGAGAAAAGTGATGTGTAAGTACAAATGACATTGTGCGGTTCCAGAAAATATCCGTACTCCCCACGGAAGGGATCGGATTTTCCAGAGGGGAGGGGGGGGTCAATTTGCCTAATTTTCCAGTGGGGAGCGGGGGGGTCACCATAGGGAAATATTTCCTGAGGGTTCTCGTGACCCGTAATAGAGTAACAAAGAAAAAACACAAAAATTTACCACGACAATTTATTTGTGAAGATATAAAACACGACGAAAGTTAAAGAGCTACTAAACCTATGGATTAATGGACATAGCGAACATATTTTGTCAGTCCCTTGGCGTGACCTCTCACGAGAAAACGTTCCTTACGGTTTGCCGTTTTCGAACGCATTTGGTATCCGTTTGAACGGTTTGGGGTATCCGTTCAAAAAAAACTGTCACCCGTTCGAACGGCTTTGGCTATCTGTTCGGGAAAAATTGTCATCCGTTCGAACGGCTTGGGCTATCCCCTTTGAAAAAACTTGTCATCCATTCGAACGGCTCGGGCTATCTGTTCGAAAAAGAATTTGTCGACTGTTCGAGCGACTGAAGCTATCTGTTCAAAGAGTTTCCATCCCAAATCCATTTCATCGCTAGCTACCCGCGTCGAACGATCTGTTATTCTCCAGGTCACGTACGTTACGAAGTTTGTTTACAAACGCATCATATATGAATAGTTACGGGTATCTGCTCCTTTGTAGCCATCTTCGCTTTCACATTATCAATTGATTATCGGCAGTATTGACATATGTTTTATTCAACACTTAATTTTTTTTTTTTTTCAACAAGTTTCCCGAAAATAATATTTTTTATCTTTTACGCTTTTGTATCTTTTATCTTTTACGCTTTTTTATGAGCCAGCGGAACGAAACTTCATTTTCCTTGCATGTCGAGAACACAAAACACGAAAAATAGATTTTTTTAATTGGTTGCATTTCTTCATCTCTTGACTGTTTCTCTATCAAAAAGAACGAGTCTTTTCCAGCACGTTAAACTTTGCGCGACAATTTATCGGCGACGTGCAATTTTACCGCAAACTCACATATGCAAATTTGATAGAACAAAATTCGATACTCACACTGTCTTGTCGCGCCACGAGGTCCTGATCTCTTTAATTGCGGTATTTATTCGAATAAGCGCCCAACCTCGAATTAGCGCCCACCTCGAATAAGCGCCCATACTAAAGGCAGAAAAAGTTAATAAGCGCCCAGCCTCGAATAAGCGCCCACCCCCTCCTCCTCCCAATCAAACTCAAATAAGCGCTCACCCCCACCCCACCCTCTTGAGTGAATAAATTCTAATAAGAGACTTCCCCGAGGACGGAGTTTTCTTCAAAGTATTTTACAGAAATGTTGCTTTGTTCCTTCCTCGCGTTTTGTTATTAGCATTTCTTGTTTTGTTGCAAAATAAACATACTTCACTTGCTGAAAATGGTGAAAATTTAATAAGCGCCCAGCCTCGAATAAGCGCCCACCCTCAAGGTCCAAAAATTTAATAAGCGCCCAGGGTGGTTAATCGAATAAATACGGTATACTTCTTCAAGTGCTGCTTTCTTCTTGACGCAGTGCGAGAAAGGTACAGTTATGTTTCCTACGCGACCTTGCATTTCATTTGCAGAATTGGAGAATTCAATAGAAATTACAAGAAACGCACAAAATCTGTCTGTGACTTGAGCGCATAAGGAGTTCGTATAAGGAGTTCGCTTCTCTGTTATACAATTCAAAAGAAAATGAACAAAACTCACAAAATTTGGCATCCTAGGGAACAAAACTACTTCTTTGTTCCCTTCAATTAGAGATAGCAAAATTTCCAGGGATGTGCGAAAATTTTGGAAATTCCAGAGGAGAGGGGGGGTCATACGGCAAATCCCTTCCTTGGGGGGGGGGGGTATGGATATTTTCTAGAACCACACATTTAAAAAAATGAATGAAGGGAGAATATGAAAATATGGGGGGATCGTACTCAAGGATGACAACTATATAATTAGTGCGTAACTAGGGATTCAAATTAAAAAGAAGCTGGCCTTTTGATTACTGCAATTAAGTTAAACTTGCCATAACATAGTTAAGTAGGCGCCCTCCGATTGGTTGAGAAGTATGTTTGCATGCGAGTAACAGTTAAACGCAGCCACGCAACCATCTTTTGAAAAAACTCGACAAGTTTACTTTATTAATCCATAACTTAGACGCATGGAACTTGAAAAATCTTTAAAAACATGCTATATCAAAGTTTTTACGCTGAAGACGACATTTTAAGGGAGAACAATCCGTCCTTTAAAATATCACCTTTTTTAACAAGAAGCCTTGACTGTGCTCTGTTCTGTACGTTGTAAAGCACGCACGACTGGCAGCGGCTAGAACACGAAAGAAGTGTAGGGGGGAACACGAGATGTAGTCGAGTGTTTCTCTCCACTTCTTGAGTAGTACAACACAATGGAGCTCAGTCAAGACTTCTTTATTTGTTTTATGAATATAAAGAATCCGTTAAATTCCCCACACATTCCTTTCTAATTTTCAAAACAATCTTTATTATTTTTTTAAAGCAAAAGAGTGTCGTCAGCATGTTTTATACTCTAATAAAGCACGCTTTTGCAACAAATCGGAGCGCACGTTATATCTGAACTTTATTATAAATCCAAAACAAAAACGTACTGATTGCACGTACAAAACTTCGTATAGATACAACACTTCGCGACTAGTAAGAACTGCTCTTTTCATCAGCGCCATAAACAAAAAGCTAGGTAGCAACTTTTTCTCGGGAAAGTTGCCGCTATAAGAGCACCTTAGCAGAAAACTGTTTTTCTGTGGTTTGCAATTTGTGCGAATTCTCTTAAATTCTCCCAACACCCGAATCTCGTGTTTATATCAGGGCATGTAAATACAGCAGATAACGTCTTCCATTTTTTATAAATAGTACTCGAAAGAAAAAGAATACTACTGATAACGATTCTTGAATGTAGCGCTTCATATGCAAGCCATGTAAGTTTTGATTCCAATAATTCACTTGTAGTGGAGTTAATAGCAGCTTACCATCTGTTTCCTCGAGCCCACAGTTTAGCTTAAACAGCTTACAGAGCTTTATTGACACCCTTTTGGTTTGGAATGACCCAGGCTGTGATGACCCTTCCAGTGTGTATGTTTTGAACCTTGAAATTTAATAATGCAGATGGTCGTTTGGTATTTGCTTGTGGGAGATCTTTACACTGGGCGGCACACCGTATCCCACTTTACCCGTAGAAGAGCTCCTAGACTTTCTCAATGATGGAAACCGTATGGAAAATCCCCGAGACTGCCCTTCGGAGATCTACAAAATTATGCAAGATTGCTGGCAGGAAGGACCCGACAAGCGACCTGAATTTGATCAAATCAGCCAGTCGATTGGTACAATACTTGAGCAACGCGCTTCCCAGGTGAGGCCTTTTTTCTACTGTTTTTGAGGCAAAGGAGGAACTAAGAGAACTTATCCTCTCTCTTGTCAGAACTTTTGTAAACTAGGTCCTTCAAAGGAAAAAATGAAGTTTATCAAAAGGGGATACTCTCTTGAGTGCATATATCCTTTGTTCTGATGGGGCGAGCGGGAATTAAGCTTTGCGGGAAGAATATGAAGAGATGACTTCTACTGTGTGCTCTTTAAAAAATTACCATATTTGCAATGACAGTGGCGGATTCAAATCTCTAACTAAGTGTGGGACCCGCTCATTAGTCCCGTAGACTGCAGTTTGGCCTATAAATTAAAGAAGGTGGAGCCCCGGACCCCCGGGGGCCTCTTGGCCCCTCCCGTAGATTGGCCATGGAATGATGATAACACGATCTGCATGCTGTTTTTTTTTTCAGACTGACGCAATGCAGATGCTAAAGCTATACAGATTATAAAAATTTACGATTCTATAAGATCAGAGAATTTCGACTGCCAATTGAAAGAAAGATTATGAGGGATGCGCATCTTTTGGT